CTACGACAGAGGGAGGGTGTCCTACATGTTCTTGTCTATGTGGATGACCTTGTGATCGCCGGTAGTGACTCTCATCAAGTTGAAAAGTTTAAGTCCTACTTGTCCCAATGTTTTCACATGAAGGATTTGGGGCGCCTTAAATATTTCTTGGGCATCGAAGTCGCGCGCACTCCGGCAGGCATTTTCTTGTGTCAAAAAAAGTATGCATTGGATATTATCTCTGAAGTTGGTTTACTTGGGGCACGCCCTCTAGGCACCCCACTTGAGCCAAACCATCGCTTGGCGCTTACTACCACGCCACTACTTCCTGACCCTGAGAAATATAGACGCCTCGTTGGTCGCCTTGTTTATTTGTCGGTCACTCGACCGGAGTTGTCCTATGCGGTTCATACACTGGCCCAGTTTCTGCAAGAGCCTCGTGAAGATCACTGGAAGGCTGCAATTGGTGTGGTTCGATACTTGAAGGGGCAACCCGGTCAAGGGATCTTCTTATCAGCTAGCAATACCTTGCAGCTAACGGGATGGTGTGATTCAGACTGGGCCGCCTGTCCTTTGACAAGGAGATCCCTCACTGGTTGGTTTGTCCAACTTGGCAAATCTCCTGTCTCCTGGAAAACAAAGAAACAAACGACTGTGGCCCGATCGTCTGCAGAAACTGAGTACAGAGCTCTAGCCGCGGTCACTTGTGAGTTAAAGTGGCTCAAGAGTCTACTTAGTTCTCTTGGGATTGAACATTCGAAGCCTATGACCATAAAGTGTGACAGTACTGCCGCATTACATATCGCAGCCAATCCTGTTTTCCATGAACGTACGAAGCACATCGAAGTCGATTGCCATTTTGTTCGAGACGAACTACTGCGAGGAGTCATCAAGACAGATCATGTTTCCACTACACATCAGCTAGCTGATATGCATACAAAGGCACTGGGCAAAACACGGCTTGAATTCTTGATTCCCAAGTTGGGCATTTCGTTGCTACATGCTCCAACTTGAGGGGGGGTGTTAGAGAAGGAAAAGGAATATTAGAATATTAGTCTTTGATTTGTATTAGACTTGTATATGGTAGCTTCCTTTTATTTAGCATTCCTAATCCTATTAGGAATACCTTGCTGTATATATATACTCCCCATTGTATTGTAAATAACCAAGAGAGAATACAATAGTTTTTCAGCCCAGAAACACTACTACGTAACA